ACAGGTCACTGTTCATCTATTAAAGATTGAAACTATCTAAAATTTACTTATCTGTTTAATTATTTAACTATATTAACTATTTAGTTCAGCTAGTATTAGAATTGTTCTAGTCTATGATCAACATAATTCAGCTCGATGCTATAAAAATTTTTTTATTCAGTTAAACATTTCAATCCCTATTATATATATTAATATTAGGAATATGTACTTATTAAAAATTTTTAAGCAAATTCAAAAATTTACTTTAATTTCAAATAGGTAAAATTAGAGGTTTGTAAAAACTTTATTTAAGATTCTATTAATTATAGTATCCTTATACTTATAGTTACTGCTGTAATTGCCGTACATATATACAGCAAAGCCCAAAATATTATAATTCTGTGACTGTAGCTGAAACTAAAATATTTTTATCTTTACATTACAGTGAATTTATGAACTTAAGCCAAAATTTGGTTACTAGATCTAAGCATTTGATCACTGAATTTAAATTTTATATTTGTTGATAAATTAATCTAAACTCTGAAAAAAAATAGGTTTGTTGTAATGAACTAAATTTTAATTTTGTTAGAATTCAGATAATTTGTTTATCTAAAGATAATTATCTGTTAAATAAGCACATTATCTAATAACTATATCTGTTCACAATTTTATTATTCAGATAATCTGACCTCTAAAACTAATATAATAAATAATAAATATTAAAAATCTTGTACAGTATTCTAATACTATAAAAATCTATTATTTTATGTTTAAGATTAAATAAAATAAGTGATAACGACATATATGTAGGATTCGATTATCAATTATAAATCGATTATTAGCAATTTAATCACTGATTAAAGTTTTTAGAATCAATTCCTATCTCTAATTATAACATTATGGCTAGAGATGTCACCTAAACTATTTCAGTATTGTTTTGACATTTACGGCTATTTTGGTTAGAATTCGAGCTTTTGTCAAAACCTAAATATAATTCCAAATTCTAAATACCGAACCAAATTCCAAATGCCCAAATTCTGATGATAAAATTTTTGCTTTTAATTAATATAACAATTATTTTAATAAATAATGATATCTCAAAAATATAATGATACTCTAATTAATATAACGATACTTTTAATAAATACAGAATTAATATAATGATTTTTTTAATAATATTTGTCACAGATAGTGAGATTAAGAACTCTGATTAGTTAGGGATATCTAATTTTATTATCATTCAAATCTCACCATATTCGCGATATGTATTATTGTTATATTATTATAGTTTGGGATTTTATTTCAACCAAGTCCTAATGCTAAACTAGTTTGAGTTTGGCTACATGCCAAAACCATCAGGTTTGTATGATATCTTTAAGGTATTATGGCATGATATCATTGCAGCATTACAGTTTACAGCATTTACAGCAAAATTGCTGTTTAGTACTATAATTGTATTTTTTCCAAAAATCAATTATAGCACTTGTACTATTATTTATCTTCATAAAGCCAAATACAAATAAACTATAATACTAGCTAAACCTTGCTATATATTTTATATCTAAATCTTCTAATTATAATATGTTTATAACAGATTTGATATAATGTGATAATGCTAATTCGAGACCCTAATTTATTATCTAACTTTAATAGTAATAGTATTTAATAATATATTTGATGTATTGTGTATAATAAAAATTTGTATGTAATTGAAATATTAGTAGTTTAACCTATAGTAAATACACTATCAATTATAAGTTGATTATCTATAATATTGAAAAATTTGTCTTTTGATAAATAGTTTTCTGAGATTGAAATTTCAAAAAAGTACACCTGAAATTTAGGTGCAAGTATGCTTTTACTGATTTGTAATAGATAATTATTTTTGAGTCATATCTATACAAATTGTTAACGATTAATTAGCTAATAGTTTGTAATTATTTTAACCATAATGATAAATATTTACAGTTATAGTATTTACCTTTAAATTATTTCTTGGATTTAAAAACCCAGTAACCAAACTGCAGAATTTCTGCAAATTACTCATTTCTTGTTCTTGTAACTATTCGCAGAGCCAGTTTTTAATAGTTATTTGCCTTTTATTTATATTTTTTGGAAATTCCAACTTTTGAATAACATTGTTAGAGTCTACAACTACTTGATACAAATAGGTTATATATATAATTCTAATATTTTTTGACCTTAAAATCTATATGGATTATATTTAATTTATTTAAAAATTATCAAATATATGTATATTTTAAAAGATTTGGATTAAAGGTAGTTTTACATTAAGAAAGCCAAATTTATTTAATTTATATTTTATTACTTCAAGCTAGCAGTATCTTTTTGTAATAAGAGTATCAATACAAATCTGATCAGACAATTTCTTTAAGTTATCTCTTGATTGCATAAAAATTACAGTTTGAAGTTGCTAAAAAATTTAAACATTATTAAATTAATAATTTTAAATTAAAATAGGTGCGTAAAAGTGAAACCTAGAAATCGATTTAATGATTTACTATGATCGGTTTCCAGATTTTTAATCTCACGCACTCAAATATATAAAATTTAAAATATATACTAATGCTATGTTCTTCAGCCTAATCATTAAATCTATAAATATCAGACAAATTAGAATTCAATTCGGTATTCAGTATTTGTCTGGGGAGCAGAGCTATAATCATGTTTATTCTTTCAACATAATTTAATAAAATAGTATTCTCTAAATCCAAAAAGTATTTGAAAAGGACAATGTCTAAATTTTGAGAAAATAGTACATCATAAATTAATGATAAAAATAATATATCTTCAAAAACCTAGAAATAATTTAGAACTTAAATATTTATTTTATGAGTTCAAAATATTTGCTTAAATTCAGAAAAAAATTATTTACATCAAGTTCATCTAAGAAATTAACTGGTGCAGTCTTGCTTATTAGCTTATGATTATCTCTAATAAATAATTCATCACTACTACCATATTCAGGATTTACTAGAGTCATATATATATCTATGAGTTTCTGCATTGTGTCATTAAATAGTCTACCTAAATCAATACTATATATTTTATGTTTTATAGTAAAAATTAAATCAATTTAAAATTAAATATTAAGTTTATATTAAGTTAATAAATAGTTTAAATTTAATTTTTATAATTAGAATCTTTACTTACTCATTTTCAAATTTAATTTTAAGTCTAATTATAAAATCTCTTGCATTAAATCCTTTTATAGTAGTAATAAAATATGAAAATATAAGAAACAGATGCCTAGAAGTAAGTCATATTGTTTTTTGAGTGCATCGATTACTTTGTTTTATTTGTTCTTTAAATTCATTAATAATTTTTCTAAATCCTATTTAGAACAGAATAAGTTACTTCAAATAATAAGTATAACAGTATATATAAATATACTAGTTGAAGTAATTGAATTTTTGTTAATTCTTTATTAAATTTAAAAGTTGATTCAAGAAATGAGTTTTTATAATTATTTTTTTAAAGGCAAATATTAGTAGTTTATGCTTATAGCCTAATAATTTAATAAAACATATAATCAGAAATTACATAATTTTAATAAAATATAAAAGTTCTTACCATCTTAATAGTTCAATATATGGTTAATTAAAATCACAATAATAATTATAATATAAATAACCTTTATATTCCCCCTCTAAGGTTTAGAATTAATTTCAATAAGGCAATATATATATATATATATTTTTTTTTTTTTTATTTGATTAATAATATCAATTAGAAATGAAATTAGTACATTTATATAACAAGATGGTATATATGTGAAGCTAATATGTATTTCTAAGATACTGTTATTACTAAATCTATATAATAGTTAGTCATCCAGTATGATATTACATCTTCATTTTCTATTTGTTAGTTAATTTAAACCTAAGTTACTATTAGCTATAGAAGAGAGTAAAGGAAACCTCGAAGAAAGAAGAGAAGGGTAGTTAGTAAAAGCAATTAAATATGGAGTAGTTCTGTAGTAAGTATTTTTGAATATAGTTGTCAATGTTGTAATTATAAGGTGTAGTAGAATTTGGTAAAGTTGAAGTTTGGGAAGGGTAGATTTGTTTTAGATTTTTTTT